CAAGGACTCAGGAGATGGGGTGACAAACCTTTCTTCCACAAGAGTCTGTTGATGCTCTAAAGTCTAAAATGATTCTCACACAGAAATTAAACCAGCTCTGTCTTGCATTGAGTCCACCATAGTGCTACGTCTTGCTGTGGTGTGAAGCTGTTGAACCCAGCCAGAGGTGAGCCACATCCGCTTGTGCCCTCCCACACACCGGGCACCTGCTGGCCCTCCAGGTCCTCAGAGCCCTGGGCTCCTGCCTTGGGCTGGTCTGCCTGGGCTGAGAGGAGGTTGGAAGTAAGTAGTCTTTGCATGATGATGCTTTATTTGCCCCTCTGGGTTTGTATGAAGTCGTTCAGAGCAGGTGGGAAGCTAGGTTCTTTGATGGACCAGAGTGTAAAATGGCTGTTTCCTGCTTCCTTTCCACACATTTTCTTGCCCTGCAGAAAGTGTTTCCAAGTGCAGGTCAATAATTGTGCAGAAACCCTGTTTTAGGAGTGGTGTCTGGGCAGAGTGGCCTGGCCAGGGAGCCAGCCTTAAAGACTATGCTTGGGGTCTTCATGTGCCTGGAAATGGGAAACTCACTGCAGCCCTCAGAGGGGCCTTTCCAGGTCTGAGCTTCATCTCGATTTTCTCCAGGATAATGGACAGATATTCCATTCCCTGCAAGGGGTTGCCAGTAGTGAGCAAAGGGGCAGGAAGCTCAGAGGTGTGCTGGCAGGTCCGGGACACATGGAGCCAGAGTGGGGGCAGGCACTCCTGACTTCTCCTCCAGTCGCTTGAGCACCCCTGCAGGGCCTGCCCCTTCAAGGTCTCTACACCCCACATGGTCAAACAGACACTTTTGGGGGGTGCTTGTTTGCACTTTCTGAACTCAAGGACTAAGGAGCCGATGTCTGATGTCTGGGTCATGCTCTCTTAGGGTCTTGCTGTCCGAAGTGGGGTGCACTTATGGAGAATCACTGATTTAGAACATGGCAGGGGCCAGAGTCCAGGACACTAACTTATCTCTTCAGGAATGGCAGAGAGGTTCTGAACCCCGACTTTGGTGATCCACTAGACCTACAGACTAGTTCTAGGGGCTCAAAATTCTTCCCCAGGATTGAGAGGGTGATTTCTAGAGGAGTGTCTGGTTCTGGATTTTCCTTGGGTCAAAAGGAGATGTAACCAAGAGTTCTTGAGCAAAGGGTCTGCCCCAAATCTGTGTCAAGATCCTTTAGGGATTGCTTGCATGAAAAGGGGAGTGAAGGAAAGAAAGTGCCCTTCCAGCCTTGGGTCCAGTTGAAGCCAAGAGGAGAAGCACCAGTTCATGGCCACTTTGATTTGGCTTCCGGGTCCTGTCAGGTGTCCCGTCAGTGTTGTGGTTCTCCATGCCCACTGACCCTGGGGCAGAGCCCACCCTGCCTTTGCCCTGTGCGCCTGCCAGTTTCCCACCAGTGTGGATAACAGTTTCCTGACCACAGAGAATTGTTCAATGGTCATTGTTCCAAAAGTCCATCTGTCT